CACATTCACTTGAGTGATCACTTAGCACTGCGTGGCCTGCGGGGCGCCACCAGCCACTGTTACCCTGCTGTCCTTCCTTACAGGAACACCTCCCTTGGGGTGGGCAAGTGTCACCTCCCAGTCAGGGGAGAACCTTGTCCCCAGTGACTGACAGGCTGTCCACGTTGCACCGTTGCTGCTCCAGGGGCTCCCTCCTGCAGCCACAGAGCATGGGGCCACCCTGCCTGCACCCTCACTCTGTGCCTAAGACGGAGGCGTCCGCACCTCCAAGCCCAGTCGTACGGGTCACTTTTGCCCCTCTTTCTTGTGTCTGTGTTTCTATTCACACACCTCTCCTTAGATCAGAAAGAAATAATGCATAATAGACATATACAATTTTAGTTCACACCGTTTGCAGCAATTTCTTTATAAACAAGATCCCCAGGCTCAGTGGTACTTGGCTAGAATCCTACCTACTCAGAAGGCTGAGGCAAGAAGGTCTCAAGATCCAGACTACCTCAAAGAACAGAATGAGATCCTGTCTCAAAATAAGAAACAGCAAGGGCTGGGTGCTGCTTGGTGCAGGATGCTTGCTTTGCATGTGCACGGCCATGGTCCCATCCCCAGTACCACACATACATGAGTGCTAAGATTAGACAGGCTGAACACTAGAGATAACAGTGCAGTAGAAGCAGACACAGCACGGATGGAATACAGCTGGGGTCGGACGCTGACCGCTGCCCACGGTTCCTCAGCTCTCTTGTCCCAGCAGAGTCCTAGTGGCTCTCCTTGCTGCAGAGAAAGAGATGATCCAATCTAGGATCCCAGCATCCGTGAAGTGAGCAATATGAGTGTGCTGACACTCGGGCCTGGGAGGGTTTCTTCTTTGGGCCCTCGTGAAAGGCTGCTGTGCGGAGTAACAGTTACCTCCAGCCTGTGTTCATGGATTCATTACACATTTATTGATTTACAGTCTTTCATTTTCTTATCTGAAAATACTAAAATGAGAGTACTAACACAAATGGGTTTTCCTCCCTCTGGTCCTGCACAGTCCTACCTCCTTTTATACAATGAAAAGTTTCAACCCGCAAGGGGATTTTTTCAAATGAACTTGCCGGGCCATATGTTTTCAGGTCAATGTCTTTCTTTTCTCTCTGTCAGTACCGCCCACATCACAGCCCAGACCTCAACTGTGTGGGCTTGTCATCTGAATCTCAGGGGTGATGTGGTATAAGCAAAGATCCTCTTTTACTTTTAAGGCATGGGTGCATTTTTCTCATGCATGATTTCAGTAACATGCAGTGTGAAGAGAAAGTAATGAAACCAAAGAGATAAAATACACACTCTGAGGATGTGAAGATTCGATCTGGGCCCGTGCACACTTGATCTTTATTTAAGAGGGTTCCTGCACGACGCCGCCATTTCCCAAACCTCAGCGCCTTCCCCTCTCTGCATAGCCAGCACTCGGCAGCCCGACCTAGGTACTGTGAAGCAGAAGCACAGTCACAGTCGCAGTGAGATCGTATGGTCACAGGCGGGAGTGGCTTCCAGAAAAAAAATGCATAATTTACGGGCTTTGATAGTTAGGGATTATCGGGAGGTATCATTAAGAATCATTTCCTTTTACTTTTCTTTGCTTAAATCCATTAAATTATTTAGCCCCCAGAGTTAAGTAGGCTTAACATGATGTTTACTGAGAGTAAAAAAAAAAAAAATCACTTCAATTCTTTGTGTTTACCCATCCAAAATACCCCGAATGATCGTGCCAGTGGTTATTGAGGTTAGGGCTGATTAGCATTCTCTCAGTCAGCACCCCAGGCCCACCAGCCTTCCTATGATCACTCTCCATCTTCGGGTTTAGGAAAGGATGTATCTGTTGAGCAAGGGATTATGAATTTCCAAGTGAAACACTTTTGAAAACAATCGGGATGTTTTCTGTGGGGTTGGTGGC